CCATTTGTGACAGTATCACATTTTTGTTGCTATATTTTATTTGGTTTTATCAATTGTAATTTCCTCACTGTTTTGTTGGTAGATTTTGCGATTTAGGCGATTTTTTTTTGTTTTTCTTTTATTAAATTAGAGTTTTAGCAAGAATTCAGTAATTTATAGGGAATCGCGCCACACATAATTTAATCATTAAACTTGCGAATGTAATACCTTTGTTTGATAGGNCCACACATAATTTAATCATTAAACTTGCGAATGTAATACCTTTGTTTGATAGGATTCAGCCATGCTATTTTGATTGCGTATGAATTTTTTTTTTCCAACACTTGGTTTCATAGTTTTCGTTCTTTTTGGGTAGTGTAATAGCTAGTTTTTTTTGCTCGTTCTCATTTATGGCCCCGCACGCGTTTTTTTCTTAATAATTTTTGTTTGACTCAGTCGTATCACAGATAATTAAATATCACGGCCGAATTTTTGCCACTTTGCGTTTTGCCGGATTTTATTAGCGCTAGAAGACCCGCTCACCGCCCGCAATCATGAGCGAGTGACTAAGTACTTGAACAGCACTGGTGACTCCACCTCAGCTGTTCATTCATGTATGTACATATGTATGCTCGTTTTAAACTCCCCACAGGTCATCTCCGTATGCTGGCGCCAACATCGTGGGACTCTTAGGGCCGGTTTCTCTATGTCTGATTAACATAACCCTCAACCCGTGGTTGGTTAACCACCTGGTAGTTTGAATTGACAGTTTCATTTTCACCAAGTTCTAATTAGCTGACTTCGGACTATTTTGATTATTGTGAATATTTTACGAAAAAGGTCACACAAATTGCTTTGTGAATACATAAAAACTGCATGACAGCTGACATTTGTTTACATTTATTTGATAATTTTCATCCCGCGCATTTCCAAGTTTTACGCTGCTTATTTAATAATTTTCATTTGTGTATAGAATAATGGAAAACAAACAAAGAAGGCTTCCAAATTTCACTAGCACTGAGGAAAATATGTTAATTACGTTGGCGGAGCGGCACGCAAATCTTATTGAAAATAAAAAAACGGATGCAGTGACCTGGGAGAAAAAGCGGAAGGCCTGGGAAACTATCGACGTCGAATTTGAGGCTCAAGTTGGAATCAGGAGAGGTGCAAAAAATTTACGCGAAAAATATGAGAACTTAAAGAGGAGGGCCAGAAAATGCTTGGCGGAAGAAAAAATGGAACTTTATAAAACAGGAGGTGGAGTATATAAGCAGCGGCGGGACATCAACACAGAAAGGTTGGCTGCTTTAATGGGTCAATCTGCTACAGGATTGGACAATGATTTTGACAGCGATGGTAAGATATTTCATTGACATTATTGCTACATCAATATTAAGGGAATTAATCAGTACATGTGTATTGTTTATATCCTTATGATTGGGTGTTAATTGCAAGCAATATATTTGTTTTTTGAGCTTAAGGATAGAAGAAAATCAAGAATAATTTTTAACTGGTGTATTTGTATTTTTGTCATTGAGATTTCGACCTCTATTTGAGATGATCCTCAGGACTAATGCAAGCCATAAACGCTGCGACCCTTGGTTCAACTTAAGGATGTTGTGCTCGAGTTTGCAACGTGTGTGCGCCCGTTGAATGAAGTTGTGTCTTGGTTGTATGAAAGATCAAAATTTTTTGATTTTCTGGCAAGCTGTTCAACTCAACTTTTGTGATCATTTTCGTGGTAACTACTTAGCAAAAAACATTGGGCCGTATGCATAAAAACGAAGCAATTGCTTTTTCTTAAATTTTCATACCTTTCACTTAAATTTATTTGAACAAATTGAGTAAAAGGTTTGACATTTTAAGAAAAAGCATTTGCTTGGGTTTTATGCATACCGCCCATTGTGTGTGTTGTATTTGTTCACTAAATAACCCCAAATGGATAACTTAGCCGAGTTTGTGCTTGTGATGAAGTTTATATGTGGATGCCGAAGCTATGAAATTGTAAAATTGAGATTGCACAGTGAGATTTGTTTGTAGGCAAAACGTCCAACTTGATTACGAATCGAGTTGAACCAACGCTCGCAACGTTTATGGCTTACATTAGAGACATACATACATAGTTATACACTCAACAAATTGTGCTATTTTTAATGCTTATAAACATGTGCATATGAATGCTTTTATACATAATGATGTTTTCAAGTCCTGAAGATGATCTTAAATTGAGGTCAAAACATCGGCGATAAAAACAAATATAAAACTTAAAAATTGTGCTTGATTTCCATCTGGTGCTGAGCTAAAAAGACAATTGCGCTGTTCAGAATCTTGTGGATATGATTTTGCATTTCGCCGTTTAAAGTACAAAGCCGCGTATCGTCTGCAAAACCGCGTAACTCACATATTTTGCAAATGCAAATCCAAGACCATCTCCACAATATCCTCTATTCAGCCCTAGTATATTCATTACATGTGTATATGATTTCAGCCTTTCAAGAAATCGAATATGTGGACGATATTAATGGGGATCTGCGCTCCGCTACCGAAACAATCAAGGAAAGCCCGATCAAAGACCAAAACATTGATATACGCCTCAACCCCTCGCTTGGAAAAGCACGGTTTCTACAACAACAATCTTTGGACGACTCTATGCCAAGTCAAACAGCGAATGATGTGGAGATTATTGAGGGCGCAGAGATTGTAATATAATATTATAGTGTATTTCCATTAATTTTACCTAATATACATATGTGTATATAAACTGTTTCAGGAAAATACACTTGATTGGAGCTCATGGAATCCAACTAGTTTGCGGACGAAAAAAGCTAATAAGCTGGAGGTCAAATCAGAGCAGAAAAAAAATAAGACCATTCTCGATTCCTATCATTTGTTTTGGGAGGAAGAAAACAAAAGGGCGGTAGACAAGCATGCAATGGCGAAAGAAAAGCATACACTCGAAGTAAAAGAAGCTCAGATGAAATTAGAACTTTTGCAAATAGAAATTGATTATAAGAAACATAGAAGTTCTAGTCAACTGCTTTAATCTATATCTATTTCTAAAAGTTATAATTTCATATTAGATGTGGTGTTCTGCCGCTGCTTATATTGAGAGCAGAAGTTTTATACTGCTTTTTCTTTCAAAGTTGCAATTTACAAAAACCCTTTCTAGAAATTTTAATTACAATGTTTATAATTGGTATGAAAAGTTTATAAAATTTTTTGGGGCATATTCGTAGGCAACATAAAGTCGACTATAAAGTTAGTTGCAGCTTTTTCGACAGATATTTCCTTGAAAATAATGTCAAAAAGCTGCAACTAACTTTGGAGTAGACATTATTTTGTCTACAAATATGCCGCTAGAATTTTTGAATTAGTTAAAAATTTTGATTTTCATGGTTTTTTGTTATATAATGAGCTATACTGTTATAGAAAAACTAACTGATACCCGCGACTGCGTCTGCGTAGCTTACTACTTTTCGATATACCCTTGTGTCAGTTGATTCAGTCAAGTGACACTTTGACTAGTTTTGGCTATTTTTCTTTTATTTATAAAAGTTTAGCACTTTACCTATCCAGCGGCACATAAGTCCACATTTAAAACTTCGTACAAAGATTATCAAAATTCAACCTGGTGGTGTCAATCTGGTGTCTGTCAAAAATAGATGTAACATCTGAACTATGTTGCCAATATTAATGCTTACTCAGGTAGCTGCTTATTAAAATTGAACTAAGTCGAACCATAAATATGGATTTTCTGAAAATTATTATATTGATATAGATATAGTACGCCGAAGTTATTTATATATTTTTTGGGTGCTCATAAATAACTTAGAACCAGTATTTATATTATTTAATCTTTTTTTAGTTGTCTACGATTGAATATTCCTTTTGTTTATTTCGCAATTGTAATGATCTCATATGCAGTGCTTATCATGAGTGCCGTATACTCACATATTGACAAGATTTTCCTTTTTTTATGAGAGTATATTTTATTCTTTAACAAAAGCCGTATAAATGCAAAGTTAATGGCCTTATTATAAAAAATAAAGTAGGTTTAAAGAGCTTTATAAATTGACGTTTTCATACATTTTTCAATTTAAAACCTTTTGTAAAACTACTTTATTTTTTATGAATAAGGCCATAAATCTTTGTACATTAAAAAAAGAAATCAACAAACTTTCTTAAAAATTTCGAGCTTTTTAATTATCTACAAATATGTAGATAGTGAAATTTTGTCAATATGTGAGTTTCGTATATATATTTAAAAAAATTTATGAGCACCATTTTAGATGAAACACATTTTTGTAATTTTTAGCTTCTACTAAGTGTAAGTACTTTAATTAATATTCAATATATAATGTATTGTACCTGAATTCCTGTTTTGTTAATAAAAAAGGAAAATTACAATGACATGAAATTTATTTGAATATGATGAATATACACTCCGTTGCATACAAAGTACTTATGTTCTAAGTGGTTTTATATCGACGGCTGAGTGGAAGACCGACCTATCTCGGCAGTCGGTTTGAAAACGCCATACCTCAAAAAAACTTTTCAAGAACTCCCTAATTCAGAATTCGATTGAAGAACGCCCTATCTTAGAATTTGGTTCAAAAACGCCCTATCTCAACTGAAAGTATATTGAAAATATGTCGAGGTAGGATATTTAAGAATCGGCAGCGTGCTTGTAATAAATTCTAAAATAGGCCATTTTGAAAAGTTTTCTGAGTTAGGGCGTTTTCGAACTGTCTGCCGAGATAGGTCGATCTTCCACTCAGTCGTTGATATGGAAGAAAATGCCTAGCACTGTCAACAAAAACTACGATTGTTAATATGTGACGACTTTATATTACGCAACGGGTGTATGTATGTATGTAGACATTTCCTTACAACCTGAAATATAACAAAAAATACATTAAAAAATAAACTTATGCATTTGGCAATGTTCTTGTGGCTTATTAACATTTTATTTTTAATATTGATATTGAGCTTTGTCCACGATTATGATTATTATTATTTTTTCTAATAAACATAATCGTGGTACAAAGCTCAATAACAATAATTAAAAATAAACTTGTGCATTCTTTTTAATTAACCAACCTTGAAAAATAATCTCTGATTAAACTTGATCTTATATCAGCGTTTTCTTGCACCTCAGCTATCCTTTCGTCTGCATGAACGGGTCTATCTGCTGGTTCGCCAAAGTTAAAGCCTTCTAATTCATTTGGGTTAGCGTCTTTGTTCTGAATAGCAATATTATGCAACACTCCAAGGCAACAACAACGTTCATGATTGTGCACTGTGAAAGTCTTAATCCAAGCGATAACACTGGAAACCGGCGCTTCCATACTCCAAAGCACCTCTCAATACAATTCCGAGTATTGATATTCGTTGTAAAGTTTCTCAGCGGGAGTATTGGGATGTAAAAGTGGAGTCATCATGTAGTTGCTGACTCCATAACCACTGTCGCCCAATAAAAAACATTTTTTAAACTCATTTTGTTCAAATCGGTGCTTCAGACGACTGTTGCTGAAAATATTGCTGTCATGTGCGGAACCAGGCCACCTGAATACAAGGTCTGTTAGTTCCAAATTTGCATTACAGACAGCTTGCACATTGATGGAAAAGTATCCTTTACGGTTTCGAAAAATTTCGGCATTTTCTCCACCGGGGGACTGGATTCTGATATGAGTGCAGTCGATACATCCCACTACCTTTGGAAACTTCGCTATTTGATGAAATGCACGATTCGCGCTTTCGCTTTCCGTGCTTGTTTTTGGCATTTTAATAAATGTTGGAGCAAGTCCCGCGATAGCTTTGGAAACTTTGCTAACTGCTCGACTTGCACTGGGTACGCTTACTCCGCAGAAATCAGCAACACAAATCAAAAAGCTTCCTGAAGCGTAGAAGCGCAATGCTAGAAGCAATATTTCCGCTGCACTGATTGCTCGATTTCTGCAAGATAAAATCAATTATGAACATGCACGCCTATTACAGTATTCGATGGATAACATCGCACTGCCATCACAAACGAGTATGAAGGATTACATTCATACCAATGGCATCAGTTTGATACATGCCTGTTCCGGTTCGACGGATGCCATTCACACGAATCTAATCCTTCATATTCGAATAAGTTAGATACATGCAGTCGGCATCCGTAATAGGCATGAATGTATTTATTTACTCCGACCATTTTATTTTCACAAACCTTTCAGTGGGGCTCCGAATTTTTGTTTCTATCTTCTTCAAAATGTATTTAGCACTTGTTTTTGAGATACGAAATCTGCAAATGAAAGTGTCGTCGTCATACTCTTCAAAAAAATTTGTTTTGGTGCGGTATTTTCGTTCTTTATTAATCCGTCTCTGAATCAAACCAGATAGATGGGCTGCGCGTTCCAAATTTTCCATTTTTTATACACACTATAACTCTTTATTATTATCTAATTGGTAGTGAAATACAATTTTATGCACTATTGTACTATATTCACCTGTCAATTTTTCTTTCGATTAGCGGCTAATCGATAGCCAATGTTCGCGGTAAAATAACCACAACTTATCTGACAGGTGAGCCCTAATCGGACTTTGAGAAAACGCTTTTTATGCTACCTTCCGAATAAGTAATAATTAAGCAATTAATCGGACATGGAGAAACCGGCCCTTATTCTGGTGACTTAACTTCTAAATGACCGAAACGATTTTAGTGATAATTTTTAGTGGCGCTGGAGCCGAGTTATTGCTAAAAATCGTCGATTCGGAAACACCAGGGATCAAAGTCAAATTACTCCCGTTAAATCAACCATCAGAACCATTGCGGTCCTTGCTTCACGGCGACTAAACAGAATGTGGACAATGATACTCACCAGTTTGGAAATTGCCACCAACCAATTGCTGGCGAAAACGTTGGATCAAATGTTTCAATAAAAAAATTAATTTTGGGCGGGACGAAGTTCGCCGGGCCTGCTAGTATATATGTACATATAAAAATAATGTGTTCGTATGTCACGGTCGTCAAAACTCGAGAACGGCTGAACCGATTTGAACAATTTTTTTTTGTATTGTTCGGTACAATACCAGAACCAATGACATCGCAAAAAATTAGAGGGTTGCCACCTATTTGAAAATGTTTAAACCCAATTGTATTGATAAAATAAATAAATTATTACAATATGGGTATCAAATTAAAGGGGTTTAAAAAAGATAACTGCTGGAAATGTTTTTGACGAGGGTCGCCACCTATTTGAATATTTTAACTCAGTCAAATTGATAAAATAACTGAAATATCGCCATGCGGGTGTCAAACTAAAGAGTTTTAAGAAGGTTTATAGCCGTAAATATGCTTGGGGAGGGTTGCCACCTCTTTTAAAATTTAACTAAGTACATCGATAAAATAAATGAAATATTACAATATGGGTATCAAATTAAAGAGGTTTAAGAAAGATAACTGTTGAAAATATTTTTGAGAAGGGTTGCCACCAATTTTAAAATTTTAACTCAGTTAAATTGATAAAGTAAATGATATATTGCTATGTGGGTTTCAAACTAAAGAGTTTTAAGATGTCTTACAGCCGAAAATGTTTTAAAGGAGGGTTGCCACCTGTTAAAAAATTGAGCGCAATTTAATTGATAAACTAAATGATATATTACAATATAGATATTACATTTAAGAGGTTTAAGAAAGATAACTGCTGGAAATATTTTTGAAAAAAATTGCCACCTCTTTGAAAATTTAAACTCAGTTACTTTGATAAAATAAATTAAATACGGTAATTTAGGTATCAACCTTTTGGATTTTTTAAGAAGTCTTACAGCCGAAAATATGGTTGAGGAGGGCTGCCACCTTTTTGAAAATTTAACCCAAAAATTAATTGTTATAAGTACCAAATTGAAAAGATGTAAGAAAGAACTCTTTTGGAAATACTTTTGAGGAGGGTTGCCACCTATTTGAAAATTTTAACTCAGTTAAATTGATTAAACCAATGAAATATTGCAATGTGGGTATCAAACTAAAGAGTTTTTAAAGACCTACAGTAGAAAATATGTTAGAGGAGGGTTGCCACCTGTTTGAAAATTTAACTCAATTAAATTGGTAAAATTAACGAAATGTTACAAATATCGGTAAAAAACTAAAGGCTTCTTGGTTTAGAAATCTATATGTTCTATACAGGGTGTCCCAGAAGTAACGTGCCAAACTTTAGAGGGAAGGTAGGTGGGGGGGTGAGCTCCCTGATAAACAAAAAATTTTCAGTAAAAGTGTCACCGTTTTTGAAATATTTACATTTCTTTCGAATTTAAAAAAAATCGTGCTTTTCATGTGTTTTCTTTAACTGCAACTACAAACCGGGCAATACTTAGTAAATTTTTTATGTAAAATACTTCCAGATAGTTGCCTCTCCATACTCAAATGCAATGTAGTTAAAATATATCTAAGGAACCATCGATAAAATTAGGACTATTTCTGGATTTTTAACTTTTTGATATTTTCTCCCCAAATTTGACTATCTCGGGTAAAAAAAAATGTACTGAGCTATAACTTTACATTAATAAAAAAATTGCTCATTTAACTAAGATTTCAGAAAGGTGCCACACTTACTTATTTGAATAGAAAAAAAAGTTATAGCCGCTTTTGTGGGTAAAGGACTGAGACACGCTAGAATGTATTTAATAGATTTAAATTGAATTTGCTCTTGTTACCGTACAAATGACATGCTAATAGTACAAAGTACATTATTACCTGCATCCTGACATTATTTTGTGTTACTTACCGGAATTGTCGAAGCATTTGTGAAGTTGATTCAATACTTGTACAACGCAGTATACGTCGCATGAATATGCGGATATTCACCTAATTTACGGTGAAGCTTGCTGTAATGCAGAGCTGCTCAAAAGACTCTATGCAGAGCGATACCCCAATCGCGCGACATCCGGGTCGTGAAGTATTCGCCCGGGCTCTAGAGAAATATATGAAGGTAAGTGATTTTTACACCCTTCTTGTTTGCTTAGCTTGATAACTATCATTTTTTACTTTTTTAAGGTCGCATACCTGGAAGGCGTGGCGGCGAAACTGGACGTCCTGCAACTGGTAGATGTTGAAGTTGTGTTAGAGGAAGTGGAACTGGTCCATCGACTTCAGCGAGAATGATGGAAAGACGACGGGAATACCAAAAACTACATTCACAAAACTTTACAAGACCATGATTTCATCCTACACATTCAACGTGTTCAGGCTCTACAAGAAAGAGAATTACCTGTCGAGAGTTAGATTTTGCCGTGAAATGTTGCGAATGCATGAATCAGACCCCAACTTTTTTAATAAAATAATTTGGAGCGATTGAATCATCATGCAACATGATGTTATTTTAATCTACATAACCTTCACAGTTGGCAGATAGACAATCCTCACGAAAGGAGAGAAGATCGTTCGCAGTACCGGTACAAAATAAATTTATGGTGCGGTATTTTTAATTGTCAGATATTGGGGCCTGTGAACTGCCGCCAACGCTCAACTCTCACAGTTATTTAGAGTTCCTTCAGGAACGGCTTCCAACTCTTTTGGAAGATGTACCCTTAAACCTGCGGCGAAGACTATGGCTGCAAAATGTACGGGTGCTCCTGCTCACTACGGGCGTGAAGTAAGAGCTCATTTAGACGAAACTTATCCTCGCCGATGGATTGGACGATACGGGCCAATTACGTGGCCGCTCGATCGCCAGACCTGAATCCATTAGATTTTTCTGCTGGGGCTGTGTTAAGGACAAAATTTATTCAAAAATAACTCAAAACGAAGAGCATTTGCCGGAACAAATAAATGGAGCTGCTGCTAAGATAGCCCAATTGAGTTTAAGATCTCTATAAGCGCATTTTCTTAAAAGGTGCCGAGCTTGTATTAGAGTAGAAGGTCGCTAATTTGAGCATATTTAATCAATAAATTAATAAATTTTTCTTCAAACAACTCATGTATATCTTATTTCACGTGAACCCATCCTTCACCCAAAATATTGATAGATATAGCCCTTGTTATAGACTCTAGTCCGAATTCCGGTAAGCAACATAAAATAATGTCAGAAGCAAGTAATTATGTACCTTTGTACTATTTAGCATGTCATTTGACGGTAACAAGAGCAAATTCAATTTAAATCTATTAAATACATTCTATCGTGTCTCAGTCCTTTACCCACAAAAGCGACTATAACTTTTTTTTCTATTCAAAACAGTAAGTGTGGCACCTTTCTGAAATCTTTATTAAATGAGCAATTTTTTTATGTAATGTAAAGTTATAGCTCAGTACATTTTTTTTCACCCGAGATAGTCAAAGTTGGGGAAGAAAATATCAAAAAGTTAAAAATCCAGAAATAGTCCTAATTTTATGATGGTTCCTTAATATATTTTAACTACATTGCATTTGAGTATGGAGAGGCAACTATCTGGAAGTATTTTACATAAAAAATTTACTAAGTATTGCCCGGTTTGTAGTTGCAGTTAAAGAAAACACATGAAAGGCACGATTTTTTTTAAATTCGAAGAAATGTAAATATTTCAAAAACGGTGACACTTTTACCTGAAAATTTTTTGTTTATCAGGGAGCTCACCCCCCCACCTACCTTCCTCTAAAGTTTGGCACGTTACTTCTGGGACACCCTGTATATAAATACGCCACAAGAAAATTTTGAACTCCGTTTTTTTGAGGGCACCGTTCGCTCGATTTCAATGAAACATACGCCGATTTAAGGGTTATAACTTCTTCTAATCCAGAAATGTTAATCCCGTTACATAGGGGGCGTGGCATCTGACATATACACTAAAATGTGAAATCCGATATATCTCTAAACCCAACTCTGCTGGGGAACTGAAACTTATCGTGGATGCGTACATTGTAAATACTTTACTTACGCCGAACAACGGTAGGTATTGAAAAAGGGGCGTGGCACTTCCATACAAACTGAAATTCCCATAACACTTATCTCTGGAACCGCTTATTCTGAAGTCCTGAAATTTGACACAGCAACATATGTTGTCAATACCAAACTTACAGCGAAAATTTTTAAATAATGGAAAAGGGGCGTGGCACCTCCAATACAAACTGAAATTCTCATATCGCTTATCTCTGGAGCCGATTATGCTAACGTCTTGAAATTTGACACAGCAACACATGTTGTCGATACCGTACTTACGGCGGAAAGTGGTAGATTTAGAAAAAGGGGCGTTGCACCTCCCATACAAACTGAAATTCTTATATCTCTGGAACCGATTATACTAACATCCTGAAATTTTACACAGCAACATATCGCACACGGTTTTAAAATTGACATTACGCAAAATTTTGCACATTTGACATTATGCACTAAAAATGTACACAGAGCTTTTATTTCAGCTTTCAGCAAAAGCCGGAGAAAATTTTTGTTATAATTTGTTGCCAGTACCGTACTTACGGTGAAAAGTGGTAGATTTTTTAAAACGGGACGTGGCACCTCCCATACAAACTGAAATTCTCATATCGCTTTCCTCTGGAACGTTATGATAACGTTCGGAAATTTGACACTGCTGCACATGATACAAAAAAGAAGGTAGTTTCAATAAACAACTTTTGACGGATAATAAATTTTTTTGAAGTTTCATAAATTGTGCGTATTATCAACGGCCTTGCCACTTTGATAATATTAAAACAATAAATCGGAGTATTTGCTTTCCCATATTTATACCAATGTAATAGCATTTCAAATCAAAAACCATTATCAGTGCTAGGTACTTTTTTT